ACCCCTGAGCACCACAACACAGCGTGGGGTCACCAGGAGGGGCGTGGGGTGGCATTGGATCAGCAGTGGGTTCGGCAGATGGGGAAATGGGGGGGGATGGCTGGGATAGGGGGGGTCCTCAGTGTGTGCCATTGTGGTCCCCACAGTGTGATAACGCAGTCCCCATGGTGTGCCATCATGGTTCCCGTGCCATCATGGTCCTCATGGCGTGCCATCACGGTCCCTGCAGTGTGCCACTGTGGTCCCCTTGGTGTGCCACTGCAGCCCCCATGGTGTGCCATCATGTTCCCTGTGCCATCGTGGTCCCCATGGTGTGCCATCATGGTCCCCCTCCCATTATAGCCCCCACGGTGTGCAATTGCAGGCCCTATGGTGTGCCATCATACTCCCTGTGCCATCGTGGCCCCCAAGGTGTGGCACTGTGGTCCCCACACCATCACGGTCCCTATGGTGTGCCATGGTGGTGCCCATGGTGCGGTGGCACTCGCACCCACCACTCGCTGTCCCCCCTGTGCACAATCCCTGTGCTGGCTCCCGTGCTGCCCAGCCAGCACCTCACCCTGCTCAGGGACACCGAGGACCCCCCCAGGGCTGGGATGGGGACACACGTGGGGCTGAGATGGCAGCCACAGTCCCCCCCCAAAAGCGCTTGGTGTCAGACAGCACACGGCTGCACGGTGCTGGCACTGACATCCCAGTGGGATTTCTTTGGGATGGGGGGGTCGGGGGGTCTGGGTACCCGCACCCCTTTCTGTGCCCCTCTTTGTCCCTTGGGAGCCCTGCTGGCAGCGGGAGGGGCAGAAACAAACGCCTTTGGCAAACAGCAGCTGGGCTGGCACGGCGCCGGGGAGGAGGGGCACGGGGGGGGGGTCTGTGCCATGCTCTGGGGGGGTCGGTGAGGTTGGTGGGGGGGCTCTTTGTGCCCAGCTGCCCCCATCTCACCGCAGAGGGTGGGGATGCCGCGTGCTGCCCACCCCACTGCAGCCCCGCCGCCCCACACCCGCACTGCTGAACTGTGCTCACCCCCCTCCCCAGCCCCCCCCCGATCCCGCAGCACCCATGGAGCTGGAGCTGGGACCCGAGGCACTGCTGGACCTCAGCTTCCTGACCGAGGCGGAGCGCTGTGCCATCGCTGAGGTGCTGCACCGCGATGCTCTGCTGCGCCGCGCAGAGGAGGGTCGTGTCAGGTGGGACCCCCAGGGTCACCTGTGGGCAGGGACAGATGTGGGGTCAGCCCGGGGGGGTGGGGGTCCCGAACGCTATGGGAGATGGCTGCTGTCCCCAGCCTGGGCCGTGTCCCCTCAACCTCATCTGTGTCCCCAACCTGCCCCGTGTCCCCAGCCTGCTCTATGATGTCCCCTCAGCTTCACCTGTGTTCCCCCATTCTGATCCTTCACCAACTTTTGTCCCCTCCCTGCTCCATGTCCCAAACTTTATCTATGTCCCCAGCCTGATCGATGTCCCCCACCCATGCCATGTCCTCCCAGTCTGGTCCATTCCCAACCTGGTCTCTGTCCCCTAAACCTCATCTGTATCTGTATCCCCCCCCCAGCATGATCCATATCTCCAACCTGGTCTGTGTCCCCAACCTCATCCATGCTCCTGACCTGATCTGTGACCCCAACATGATCTGTGTCCCCTCAACCCAGTCTGTGATGTCTCCTCAATCTCACCCATGTTCCCCCAGTCTATGCTCCCAATGTGGTCTGCGTCCCCTAAACCTCATCTGTGTCCCCCCCCCCACTCTGATCCATGCCCCCAGTCTGACCCATATCCCCAACCTGATCTGTGTCCCCTCAACCAGGTCAGCGTTCCCCACTTGGTCCACGTTCCCCACCTTGGTCTATGTCCCCAACCTGTGTCCTGAATGTGGTCCATGTGTCCCCAACCTGACCTGTGTCCTCAACCCATTCCATGTCCCCATCCCAATCCCTGCCCTCCGTCCCCTTTTCCCACCGTTTGGGGCTGTGATGGGATGAGGGGCCTCAGAGCAGCACCCAGAGCTGAGTGCTGCTCCCATGGCCGAGCAGCAAACTGCGCCAGTCGGTGTCGGACCCCACGCGGCTGCGGACCCTGACAGGAGAATGGTTCTGCCACGTCCGCGCCCAGCGCCATCGGAACCTGCTGGGATCCGACCTGGTCCGTGCGTCCATCCGGCGCAGGAGGCGGCCGTGGGGTAGGGAGGATGGGTGGGGGGAGGTATGGAGTGGGGGATGGATGGGCGGAGTGGGTGGAGGGAGGGATGGATGGATGGATGGATGGAATGGGGGATGGATGGGTGGATGGATGGAGGAAGGGGTGGGGAAATGGATGGAGGGATGGAAGGATGGGGGGCTGGGGGGATGGATGGGTGGGTGATGGATGGATGGATGGATGAAGGGATGGGTGGATTGATGGATGGTTGGATGGTTGGGTAGGTGGATGGGTGGATGGGTGGGTGGATGGGTGGGTGGGTACATGGGTGTCAGCCCGCTGAGGTCCCCACTGTCCCCAGGAGCAGCAGAGCTGGAATGCAGGCTCAGCCAGGGTGAGCTGGAGGCCATCAGGGAGTGGCTGCTGGAGGAGAAGGAGGATGAGGAGGGTGCGCGGGAGGAGAGGTGAGGTGAGGGCGGGCAGGGGGCTGCAGCCCAGTGCTCCTCCAGGGCAGCACGGAGATCTGCTGACCGCTTCTCCTCACAGCCCCAATGAGGATGGAGTCCTGGCAGCCACGGAGCCACAGGTGGGTGCTGGGCTGGCATGCAGTGCTGCGCTGCTGGGCTCAGTCTCACCCACTGTGCCACCCACAGCCCAAACCCGCTGCCCCGGAAAGGACAACGGTGTCACCATCTCTGCAGCAGGGTGACGTCCCAGCAGGGGAACAGGAAAGCCCCAGACAGCCAGGTGATATGGGACTGCAGGGAAAATCTATGGGGATTCAGAGAAAAAGGGGACTTTCCTCTTCTTACATCCATTCCTTGCTGTGTTGGGACCCCCACCCACATTGTGCCCTCCCAGGTGACAGAGTGGATGGGAACCCCTTTGGCACCTCCAGTGTGGAGGAAGATGAGGAGGAGCCCAACCCTGCACACAGCAGTCCTGGTGTTGTACAGGTGGGGTGGGGGGCTGTGGAGGGATGTGTGGGGTTGCGTGGGGTTGTGGGGGTCTGTATGGGGTTGAGTGGGGCTGTATGGGGCTGTGGGGGGCTGAGTGGGGTGGTGTGGGGCAGTGTGGGGCTGTGGGGTTTGTATTGGGCTGTGTGGGGTTGAGTGGAGCTGGGTAGGGCTGAGTGAGGTGGTGTGGGGTTGTGTGGTCAGTATTGGGCTGTGTGGGGCTGTGGGGTCTGTATGGGGCGGTGTGGGGCTGAGTGGGATGGAGTAGATTTGTGAGTCTGTACGGGGTCGAGTGGGGCTGTGGGGGGGCTGAGTGGAGTGGTGTGAGGTTGTGGGGTCTATACGGGGCTGTGTGGGGTCTGGATGGGGCAGTGTGGGGCTGAGTGGGGCTGTGTGCCCAAGCTGCTCACGGAGCAGCGTTCCGTGGACCCCACACAGTGGATGCAGCCCTAGGGATGCTCTCCCCCCACACCCCAGGCAGACCCCTCTCCTTTTCCCCTCCCAGAGCACAGAGCCCCCCCCAGACGGACGGACATCCCCGCAGGACAGCCACGCTCCTCCAGGCGCCGCGCTCAGCAGCAGCTCCTCCATCTCCAGCCTCAACTCCTCCACGGTGCGACGCCTTTTGGGTACGGATCCGTAAGGATGCTGGGCACACCAAAACCCCCCTCCCTGACCTCCCCCCCTTCCTCCCCTCTCAGCTGAGCGGCAGCCTGCTGAGCCTCTACAGCGACTGGGAGCTGCGCCGGGTGCCGGTGCGGGGCTGCGTTCAGTTCTCACTGCGTTACGAAGCGGCTGCTCAGGAGCTGCGGGTGCACGTGGTGCGGTGCCGGCACCTGGCCGAGGCAAAGAGGCAGCGCTCCGACCCGTGAGTGTGACACCAGGGAGGGGAGGGGGGCACCGTGACCCACCGTGTGCCCCCCCCCCCCCCCCCCCCCCCCCCCCCAACACCCCGACCCCCCCATCCCCATCGGCTGCAGGTACATCAAGACCTACCTGCTGCCCGATAAGTCCAACCGCAGCAAGCGCAAAACCTCGGTTCGGAAGCGGAGTTTGGACCCCGTCTTTAACGAGACCCTGAAGGTGTGTTTGGGGTCGGGGGGGTCCCGCTGTGTGGTGTTGTCCCCCCCCCTCCGCCTGCTCACACCGTTTCCCCCATCCCCTCCTGCAGTACAACGTGAGGAAGGCAGAGCTGCGGGGTCGGACGCTCAACCTGTCCGTGTGGCACCACGACGCTTTGGGTCGGAACCTCTTCCTGGGGGAGGTGGAGGTCCAGCTGGGAGAGTGGGACTGGGCCAACACACAGCCCGAGTGGTTCAACCTGCAGCCCCGTGTGAGTGCCGCACGCAGCCCCATAGCCCTGCCCCCTTCCCCCCACTCCCCATAACCCCGCTCCATCCCCACCCATTGCTCTCCATATCTCTTCTCCCTCCCCTGACCCTCCTCGCCCCATAACTCTGCCCCCTCCCCACCCCATAGCTCCCCGTAACCCTGCT